GAGGGTTATCGGGCGATAAGACTCTCCTTTGTTGGCTGGTTTTCCCGGTTTGAGCAGTGGGACCACTCTCCCCGTCTTCTAGATGTCTGGAATGACGAGAGTGGCCATAGACAGGTTGAGGACCTCCTTAGGTACACTACTCCCGCAGGACCCAAATTTTTCAGCATCAACATGCATATTCCGTCGGGTCCAATGGCTTTGGAGGCTTCGCCTTCCCGATGGCTCCCCTTACCTCACCGCTGGTGAAAACAAGGGGCGCACTGGGTTTTGGCATTTTGTTGTTGTTGTTGTTGTTGTTGCTGTTGTTGTTGTTGTTGTTGTTGTTGCTGTTGTTGTTGTTGTTGTTGTTGTTGTTGTTGTTGTTGTTGTTGTTGTTGTAGCTGCATACAAGTTCCCCAAAGAGTTTTTGGGGAGTGTTGCTGGAGTGACAGTCCTTGGTCAAATATAAATCTGGGTCGTTCCGGTTACGTAGACCCGACTGTCGTGGGAACGTTTGGCATTTTGTGCAGCCTTCTGGTCACTCGACGATTGGCTTTATCCACCGGAGGATGCAGAATGAACTGCCAGCTAAAATAACTCGCGCATCGCTCCGGGTCCGACAAATCGTGGTCACCAAAGTCTATTTCGACTCTGTCGTCACGCTTCGCCGGGTTGGACAACGACCTCACGGTTGACCAAAGCCTGCTCACACCAGAGGCGAAGTTGCAGGTCGTCAAATGCTCTTTCCATTTCTTCCGCTTATGTACTTTCACAAGTTGCCGAATCTCCGAATGGAGATCCCTGATACGGGGATTTCCGGGATCGGCCTGACGAAGGTTGTCGCTCTCATCGGTTAGAACAGCCGCTTCAGCAGAAAAGTTCGTACGTGGATCCTTAATACATCCTGCTGGGATGAAGCGAGCTACAGCAGCAGTGACAACCTTGCGGAATTTACGTTCACCTACGTGAACGTCGGTAAGTATGGGCAGTGCAGTGAAGGCGCCTTCAGTAACATACGCGAAGCCTTTCCAGTCAGCTTTGGAAAAGTTGATATAGGTCCGGTGATCCACGGAAGCAAAGTCGGCAGGTTTATCAATCGAGATGACTCTGGACAGATGGTCTGATGCTAGGGTCAGCATAGGTCACCATGATACGCTGTTTATCAGACCAGCGCTGACAATTGTTAGATCTGGCGAGCTGCAGCAGCTGCCCATAATCCTGGTGGGTGCGTCGTCGTTCATTGTGCAGAATGTCGAATCGTCTATCTGCTCAGGCAGATGTATTTCCCTACGATCATTTGACAGGGTTGAGTGCCAAAGATCGTGGTGCGCGTTAAAGTCACCAACTACCATACGGTTTTCACCTCTGAGTAGCGCACCTATTTCAGGGTGTTATCCTGCCGGGCAGCTGGTGACAGGGGGTATGTATACGTTAAATATTTCGAGCTCAACATCGCCTGACTGGATAGCAATACCCTGACAATCTAGGATAGTATCCTTGTGGTCGATGTCTGCTTCAATAAGACGATACTTCACGGTGTGGTGCGTGATGAACGCTAAACCTCCACCATTGTCTCGCTCGCGATCTCGACGCTGCACTTTGTATCCGGCGCAATACAACAAGGATGAATTGCCGTGCAACTTCGTCTCTTGGACCGCATCTATTAATATTCCATGCCCTCCCGTAAAGACAGTTATCTCCTCGATCTTACTCTGGAGTCCGTTACAGTTAAATTGTAGCACCTTTGTGTGCCTTGGGAGACCAATTGCTATGTGTAGAGTTAAGGAGTTGTGTTGCCTGCCGGCTCCCTGCTGTATGTGCTGCAAAATGGGGTGCTGCCTTGTGGTGGTGGTTGCCGGTGTCGCGGCGGAGGTATGCGACTGGGCAGCACATCAGGGGCCCACATAGTCACTCGTTCAATCTCGCGTGTTGCGAAGTCCTGAGCATGCCCTAAAGAGACACCAGCCAAGGCAGGAGTTGCACTTGACTGATGTCACGTTACGGTATATTCTGGACTGACAACCAGAGCAGATTGTCGGAGGGACTAGGAGATGCCGGCGGAGGTGTGTGGGTGCTATTGTGTTCGTTTGCGGCACTGGACCTGACCGAGGTGGAGTTTGTATGCAGTCGTCTCTGGCATACGCAGCAGATGTATATTTCTGGCCCTGGGTTTGACTTTCTGCCAGCCCTGAGCAGAAGAATACGGAGCACATGTAGCCCCATTATCGAACAACGTTGGATTGATTTCGCCGACCTAAACGGCGTTAGATCGCCGAAACAACAGCCCTTGGTCGGGTAAAACCCGACTCGCTCCGGTACGTAGAACCGGCTGTCGTGGGAATGAAGCGTGCAGCCTCGATAGCTCGGTCCACAGGGACAAAGGCGTTAGGGTTGTCGGGTTTTCCGGGCATACGAAGAGATGTTTCGAGTCATGAGGTGTCACTCCGCATGCCGAACCCTCATTTGCTACATCTGCGTTCAGTCTGCTCAGGTTGGTAGTGGTTGTGCGCCTAGAACGGCAGTCACAGGTCTAGAGTCTACATAACTCGAGACTGACTCCCTGTGAATGCCGCTCAGGGCCTGTCGATAAGCTGACGGGTCCAGAGGTTGTTTAATGAACCTCTGGCCTTCGTCCGTCAGTTCGTAGATATGCCTCCTGACGTGCCTGGGCGAGGGCTCTTCTGCAAGCAGCTGCCCATTTGGGTGACCACGTCTATGGCTCCCAACAAGGAACTGCTTGCAGTGCATTGTATTAAGCTCCTTGATCGGGAGCAATTTTGACTCTTCGTGTAGGTGGTGTTCAGGCGACATCAGAAGGCATCCAGTCGCTGTCCGTAGCGCGGTGTTTTGCGTCGTCTGCAGCTTCATCCACTGCGTCCTACTAGTCCTCGGCGACCACACTGGTGCTGCGTAATTTAAAAAGTATTCGATAATCCAATAATAGTCGTTTATCTACTACTACGCGACACTCGCAATAGTGGTGTCGGTCTCAAGTTACATGGGCTCCCGTCCTGTGAATGCATACAATGCAATGTTTTGGGCATACAACCACCTGACGTGGACGACGCAGACACCCCTATTCTGCAACTCTTTCGTATTCGGATTTTGCTACGCATCGTAGAAATAGTGTGCTGTAATCCGAATCGTATTTTTGAACTTTCGAAATTCGTAACAATGGCATGCTTACAAACGAACGAGTGAGCTTTTTTGCGCAATTTTGTACGAAAACAAGTCTGTGTCGGAGGCGAAATAAACGATGTAAAACGATGTGTGTTTGCAAGAAATATTGTTGGTGTTCATTTAAACAGATAAATTTACCTTTCGCATATACGTATATTTTTATCCACTGCTTTAATAAACGACCAAAAAAGAATCTTTGTTGCTTGGGTCCGGTTTAGTTATTTTTACAATGATTTTCGGTTGTTGTGTCCAAACGCATAGACCGAATCCAAAAACTTTAAGATACATGTGTAATTAAAGGATTCACATTTTATTTAAGATATGTAAATGTTTCGAATTTCCTACCACTAGCTTATTAATAAACTCGGTTTGCACTATGCACTTTTTTGCAAATTTCGACGTGGGTTCTGCGCAAAAATACTGTGGACGGCGTAGCCGGAGTGATATGCACAAGAAATGTTGTATACCTTTGACATGCGGAAGCCCCTTTTCTCCGGCATCACAGAAAGGAGAATTCTACTTAGTAAGGGTTATAATCCCTAAGCGCGGCCGAAGGCAGAAGCAAGCGCAACAGGTGGTGGACCTAACAAAGTGCATGTTTTCAATGGCTTGGAAGAAGCTTTTATTGCATTAACTGGATTGAGAACCAGGGCTTCAGCAGGAGTTCTGGCTTTGGTTCTACAATTCAACCAGAAGCGACAAAGATGCGCTCATGGTTACTATGCCCGACAGCTCCGCATACCTTTGTGAATCCATTGCCATAGCGCCCTCTTACTCTGCTGCTATAATTGCAAATGCATCAGAATCCATAATTTTCCTCAATATATGTAAAATTAACCAATTTTACAATAAACAAGTACATGATGAGTGTTTTTTTTTTTTAAATTCCTTTCCACTTTGTTTTCCTTCATTCAGCTATCTTCGAAAAACAACTGATAGCTGGCAATGCTGCAAATGTTTCCGCAAGAGTTGCAGCATGTGGATTTTTCGTTTTTCGTAGCGTAGTTACGAATTACGAATTACGAAAATTCGGGTTCTAGAATAAGGGGGAGAGCTTCGTATGCGTCGGGGGACTCGGAGCACAATAGCACAACTTCGCTCTGGTTACTGCAGCAGGTTAAACTCGTACCTGAGCAGTTTAGATGCAGATGTGCCCAAATCCGACATCTCTTCCCATGCCCACTAAACCCCACTCAACTAACGCCTCTTTGGACGGACCCTATAGACTTGCGACTCCCGTTAGTGGAGCTTGATGACGACGATTGAGGTACTAGCCGATCTGGGCGGGGTTGTTGTAGTCGCCACAATAATAATAACAACCACAAGATAAAATGTTAACGAGCCTGTCAGACGTGGCAATGCAATATATGTCCAAAAGGCTCTCAAATTGAGAAATTTCAGAAAGCAGTTGCATGAGCAGTCACACCTTGCATATAAAGTGCCTTTCGAAAGAGGTTTTTTATTTCCGAGATTGCTAGTGCAGCACGAGCAAGTGGAAATATATTTCCGAAATCGATTTGCGCTCTCTCAATTGCAGTCACATCTGGCAACTTTTATTTCTGAAACTGATTTCCGAAATGTGACAGAAAGGTCTTTCTGGTTGTTCATACATCGAAGTAAAATTTCTCTTTCTCAATTTGATAACGAATGATGGAAATATTGCCAATCTGACACGCTCATTAAAACTTGTCAATATGTGGTGTGCTTATAATTATGACACGTGGTATATATTGGGTGGGGTACCATAAAGGTCACTATCTGCTTAATTGTCAGGCTGTTAATATAGCGAAGTGCTAGGCCTTTTTTTGCGTTTGTTTTGTACAAGGAGAAAATTTAGTTACTTGCGAATACTGGAATAGTTGCTGAATATTTCTTCGGAAAAAAGACCATCTGATGGATCTATTATCACACTGCTATTATCTCCATGAAATCCATTATCCAATAATGATATTAAATCTTCTGGAACATAGTTGTCTCCAGCGTCCTCAGTGTCTTCTGCTTCTTCGTCGTCTCGAGAAAGCAAATTGTTAACTGCCAAATTAACGTCCAAGTTAGTCCTCTAAAATACCAAATATGCTTATTTTTCTTTAGCATAAATATAAATACAAGAACATACCTGCAATTCTCGTATTATGAGATTTCTGCTTTTACCCTGAAGAACTACTTCCGCTTGTGATATTAATTCTTCAGGAACATAAGTTGCTGGTACAGTCACAATCGGACGGCTCGAGCCGCCACCGCCTATGATTACACCAGTGCTACGTGAGCCGGAACTCTGGCTTCCAGACCCAGATCTTCCAGTTGTGCGCATAAGTCGGGCTCTAGAACGTGCAAGTTGTCTTGACGACGATGTGGCAGCATTTTTTGAATTGTTAGAAACATTCGAGATATTGTTTGAGGGGCTGAAAATTAAAAGAAAAACAATTTAGTTAACTTTTAGTAGACTTTTGACAATACTCACTTTTTGTTGTTATCGATCCTATTTAAATCAATACGCTCTGAATTAATTGAAAAAGCTGCTCGAAATGCCTTTCCATCTTCCAAAAGTACTCCGATGTGACTTGGACCGATCACAATTTCCTTAACTGGTGTTTTAAGTTGTTCAAATACTCTCAGCGTGCCAACACCAAACCTGTTAATTTTGTCAGATACTTCTCGAAGCCTGTGGCAAATAAAATGTAAAAAAATTAAGAATTTAAGAATTCCAGGATAATTAAATGTATAAGAATTTCGCTATACCAAATTGACTATGGGACAATACTTTGAAATGTTTACTCGAGCAAAACCTCTTTTGTTTGGGACTAGAGAATGACTGGACATAAAAGTTCGGTTCGGAGTGGTTAAGCATCGGACAAAAACTGGCTAATAACGCTGTGCTCGAATCGGGAATTTTTTCTTAAACACCGATGAGTCACAATAATAATATGTGACCTGGTCTACGGAAAGGGGGCTTAGGTGTCAAAAAATCAATTTTCACTTTTTGGTTGATTCGTATGGAAGATGAGATGCTTTTTCACGTGGTGAAAAGCAGAAAATCCTAACTTGCTTAGAAGTGTACTAAAAATGTAGAGAAAGAAGAGTAAAAATACGACAAAATATAATTTATTGGTAATGAACAAAATACATTGAATTATAAGCTATAGACATGATTATACACTAGAAAAACGTATTATGGGCCAAAAATAATAATGCTGAGTAGTTTATGTATTTTTCTTTGTTGTCGTTTTCCTTGAGATCTTTTTACGTATTGATCCTGAGGAAGATGGACCTGGTTCCTCGTCTGGTTTGAGAACATCTTCACTAGTTTTTGCCTTCCGTTTCTTCGATGGCAAATCTTTCGGCAATGGAGCCACAATATCTACTTTAGATATATCCGAAACTAAGCTGCGAATATTGTGATAGATGTACCACTGACGATGTGACTTAGTATCACTAAATCAAGTTCATTTTTCGACATCTCTAAACAATTGTTCCGCGTACTCTCGATCATTTCCCGTGGTATCAGTGTATGGCATTCATTATTACAACAATCTTTTGACAGAAATTTTGTTACCAGCTCCTCCTCCTTTACATCAACAACATACAGGTCCATCTTAACAAAAGTTTGTTCGGTATCATCTTCTGCCTGAGATACACATACTTCGTCTTCATCATCATCGCTCTCTTCATAGTTTTCATCATCGTTTTCATCATCCTTTTCATGGAAATATTGTCCGTATACGGCACTGAACTCCTCATCAACACTCATGTTTCATTTCATGCGAAATGCGAAGACGATAATCAACAGAAACAGTAAACGTCACTTCTTCAGTGTTACTTTTTTAAATGTTCCACACTAGCAACTTACACGATGAACTCTAATAATATTCCGACAACAACACTTACTGGACCAACAACAACACTTACTGGACCAACAACAACACTTACTGGACGTCCGGCGCGGAGAACAATTAACGAGATAATGAGAAACTGACGAAACGAGTTGCTTACTTTTAACAGCTTTTTCACAAACTAGTTTTCGCACGTAAGCTCCCTTTTCGTAGACCAGGTCACATATAATAATAATAATAACAGATTGAACCCGCAACTGAGGTAGGGCGTTTTAGAACTGGATTTTGAAAGAGGGTGTTCTTTAAAAGTTTACTGAGATAGGGCGTTTTCGAACTGGCTACCGAGATAGGTCGATCTTCCACTCAGCAGTCGATATACAGTATCGGTCATATCAATAGCACCAATATTTCCAAGTTGTTGTTGTTGTTGTATCAGCATACGTTCCCCAAAGGGATTTTAGGGAGTGTTGCTGGAGTGACAGTCCTTGGCCAGATATAAATCCCGACTGTCGTGGGAACGAACATTTCCAAGTGATATTGTGTTGGTGTAAAATACAGTTCATTCTCTAGCAAAAGCCATATAAACCCATCGTTTAGGCTATGCAGGAAACTAAGAAAAAATTCAACAAATTTTCATCTAAATTTCAAACTGGTTTCTCGAAGTGTTAGAATTTCTTTGAATATTCGAATGCAAGTCGTTTTTCGAGAGCCAAATCGTATCGAAAATTCACGCCATTGCCTAAAATTTCCAGCACTGTATAGTTTTCGACGATTTTCGTCGTTTACTTATTTCGGCACGACAGTAGACAATGCCAATGTTGTCAAGTCGTACAACTTAGCCTATTTTAGTACTTACGCAATGAGGCTGATAGTTTTATAACATATTAAATTTTTTGAAAAGGAGATGCTATTGATAAGACCGTAACTGTATATGCATATTGAATTTTTACTATACCTAAAATGGGCTACCGCTGTGGTGGAGTGGTTAGCAGTGTGCGCTACCCAGGGTTGGCAATGTTTTAAACACTTGTTTTTTAAAACATGTTTAAAACATATATACTTGTAAAAAACATCAATCGTATAATGAATAGTTATTGTACCTTTCAAGTTTTATTTGCAACATAATACCCATTATCGTATTGAAACTTGTTTAAATATAGGTGATTTTTTCCTATTGTTTTAATCAAGGTTTTAAGCACTTTACGTTTCTTAGTATACAGTTAGAAAATGCTCATGAAATTTTTATATTTCACTCTAGAAATATATTACCTATGTACCAAATAATTGGTTAATCAACCTGAGACCATTTCAAATTTAAATGAGCTGAAAAAGTATTACCAGCTTCAGTTATCAAGGCAATGAACAGTGGCGATCAAAAATTAGTGAATGTATGACATCTTATTATTTACAGTAACATAACTTTTTTAATAAGCAGATTGCTTTGAAATTTTCTGCAATTGCCAATCCCCTCCTGACCACAGCCTAAAATTTTAAGATCTGGACTTTGAGCTGGCCAATGGATTAGGGGAAAATCTTGCTCAAGCAGCCGGCGGTGTCGAATCTTCTCAGAATGCTTTGGATCCCCATTCTGCTGGCAAACAACTCCTTCCTCAGGGTATGCGCTTTCCCATATTTATTTATTTATGTCGAGTCTATGATTTACAAAATCTTAGACTAAATAACAACATTTAATAAATAAAAATTTGCGAATAGAGTAAATGTTTTTTTTTTTTAATTCTATGCGATTAGCGAATATGTTGACATTATTGTCTTTACATAAAGCATTGAACTCACTCATTACCCTAATAACTGGTTGATTTAGCGCATATTTGGTTATACAAAAATCAATCGCTAACAAATCATGTTGACGAAGAATTCTCATTGGAGCATTGAGTTTAATGAGATCTAAAAGGGCAGGGCAGTCAATTGCTCCACTCAAAGCATTATGTAAGAACATTAGGCCAGAAATAATCCGTCTATTGCGAACTGTATGTAAGCTTATAAGTTTTCAACGCGAAATATATGGAGCAGAAGGGTTTTCAAACCTAATTTGAGCTAGACCGAATTTTACGCCCTTATTCTAGAACCCGAATTTTCGTAATTCGTAATTCGTGGCTACGCTACGAAAAATGAAAAATCCACAGGCTGCAACCCTTGCGGAAACATGTGCAGCATTGCCAGCTATGAGTTGTTTTTCGAAGATAGCTGAATGAAGGAAAACAAAGTGGAAAGGAATTAAAAAAACACTCATCATGTGCTTGTTTATTGTAAAATTGGTTAATTTTACATATTTTGAGGAAAATTATGGATTCTGATGTATTTGCAATTATAGCAGCAGAGTAGGGCGCTATGGCAATGGATTCACAAACGTATGCGGAGCTGTCGGGCATAGTAACGGGCGCATCTATGTCCGCTTTTGGTTGAATTGTTGAACCATAAGCCAGAACTCCTCCTATGCCTGAAGCTCTGGTTCTCAATCCAGTTAATGCAATAACACCTTTTTCCAAGCCATTGAAAACATGCACTATGTTAGGTCCACCACCTGTTGCGCTTGCTTCTGCCTTCGGCCGCGCTTAAGGATTATAACCCTTACTAAGTAGAACTTTCCTTTCTGTGTTGCGGGGGGGAGGGGGGGGGGGCTTCCGCATGTCAAAGGTATACAACATTTCATGTGCATATCACTCCGGCTACGCCGTCCACAGTATTTTTGCGCAGAACCCACGTCGAAATTTGCAAAAAAAAAAGTGCATAGTGCAAACAGAGTTTATTAATAAGCTAGTGGTAGGAAATTTTAAACATTTATCTTAAATAAAATGTGAATCCTTTGAAAACATGTGTATGTTAAAGTTTTTGGATTCGGGTTATGCGTTTGGATACAACAACCCAATATCGTTGTATATTAACTAAACCGGACCCAAGTTTCTCGATAAGGGGCAACAAATATTCTTTTTTGCTCGCTTATATAAAACAGTGGATAAAAATATACGTATATGCGAAAGGCAAATTTATCTGTTTAAATGAACACCACCAATATTTCTTGCAAACACACATCGATTTACATCTTTTATTTCGCCTCCGACACAGAATTCTTTTCGTACAAAGTTACGCAAAAAAGCTTGCTCGTGCAGCATACTATTTCTACGATTCGTAGCAAAATCCGGTGGTTAACAGCTTTTCTGAACCCGTTCTATCCTCTTATGGTGAATTTCATAAGTAGGATTCCATATGAGAGAGGCATATTTAAGTTTAGAGCTAACAAAGCCAGAATATAAAATCTTTCTTGTATACGGGTCTTTGAATTGTTCACTATTGCGTTTAATTAATGCTAGAGGAATTCTTTGGAGATAATATAGTTTAAATGTTCAACAAATGTGAAAGACGAATCAAATACAACACCTAAATCCTTAATTTTGGAGCTAGAGTTTTAGACAACATTTCAACTAGTATATGACGACAGCAACGGAGAACGAGACTTACAGTAAGTTACAGAACAACATTTATTTATATTTATTGACAACTTATTATGAAAACACCAATCAAAAAATTTATTAAGCTCAAATTGAAGGACCCGAATATCAGAAGAACGTTCAATTTTTTTTTTTTACTTTTAGGTCGTCTGCGTATAACAATAATTACAATATCTAAAACAAGCACTGGAATCGTTCATGAAAATAACAAAAAACAAAGGACCTAATATGCTGCCTTGCGGAACTCCTGATGTTGCAATATAGGGGTACGAGCTAACACCATCAACAACTTTATTTATTCTATTTGAGAGATAGGACTTGATCCAAGACAGAATACTTGAGTGAAAAGCAAAAAGATTTAGCTT